AAGGCGTTTGAGCTTTTCGAGCATAGTGCTCGCAGTACATCGGCAACTTTTTGCACTTGCACTTACCGTATTTTGCACTTACCGTCGTTACGGTTACCGTCACCATAGTACTAGGGTCAAGCAACTCCCATTAGATTTTTCCATTCCGATCATCGACCACTTGCATGTTTTCCCATAAAATTTTTAAAGAAGCAAAACGCTTCCACCATCGGAACATCGTTGGAAATGAATAACTTCCTTTCGAATACGAATCTGGTTCGTCTCAGTGGCTTCGGCGAAGTCACTCTATAGGATCCAGTGAAAGGCAATTAGTCGAACGATTATATGACTCTTTATGTAGTTCGATAGTCCAGTATTCTTTACAAAGCCCTCTCGTGTCTACCTTCAATCGTCCTAGAACAACATTTCGATCAGACTTGAAAACATTGAAAGATTCATCAGGAAGCAACATATTCAAAGTGTTGTGTGTGCGTCTGTGTGTGTGTGTCACACAGACACACACGGACACACACAGACACACACAAACACATACAGACACACACATACACACATACACACACATACACATAGACACACATACACACACAGACCCACATACACACAAACCAACAGACACACTTAGCGAATTATATATAGTAGGATTTACATATTCAATTCATCCTGCACTTGTAATGAGGTAGATTCCCCTTCTCTTGTCTCCCTCGTAAGAATAAGCTATCCATTCAGAATCTATCTCCTTTCTGGGTCAGTCATCTAGCAACACCAACAGACCTGCGTACTCAACCGATGGCCTGAATCCATAGAAGATACCCCGTTGAGAGCATTGTTGCTAACGAAAGTTTTTGATTCGAATTATAGTGGTGGAGCAATCATGCCCAGTCGCTTTTTGTGGTATACATCATCCTTGGGTAACTCATAAAGGAGTTGTAAGTTGCGTCTTCGCTGAGCGTTATGTTTCGCTCTTGTCGAGTATGTCACTGTTTTTCATCCTTTGTAACCCTTCGTAAATGTTCTCTCACTGATTTATTGTTTCCTAATATTGGTTTTGTTAGTTTTGAATTGCTACGCCAAAACCATCGAGATATCTCTAGTTATAAAACCTCAACATTGCTCATTAACACTATGTTTTTGTTCGGTCGTTTCCTGGCGCATTTTCTTTTCGGTTTTCCCTCCTCCTCCTCCCCAAGTCCATATTAAATTCCATCACCCTGCACTTATGTCCCCGGTTCGACACCAACACCAACAGAACTTGTAGGAGCCAGCTCTTTATTGACATGCGAAAAAAGCCCAAACGCGCCGTACTCGACCTTCTTTTGACATCTACTATTGGATCTACAATTCCGTCAGTCATTAAATGTCCACGATCTCAGCAATTCCTCGAAGAGCCCTTTATGAGCGCATGATACCCAGACAGATTATACCTAATGTCCAGCTGCTGCCGCCTTTCTCTTCGCAGCTCTACTCCGATCTTGACTGGGAAAATGCCCTTTGCTGGTTTTACCCTATAAATATGAATTAGCTTAGGAGCCCATGTTTGGTTATCATCTAAATAATTTTTCTTTTGTTCAGGGATTGTTCTCGATTTAGTTCCCGGAAACGCGAATCATTTTCTAATATTTGAATTTACCTTTGAATGTAGTGGTAGGCGACAGTAATCGACATTTAGGAAATGTCTGACGATGAGGTTCGTTTTTTGCAACTCGAGGATGACGAAACACAAGCTTTCTATGAGAGGATAAGAAATATCCGAAGAGAAGTTGGCACTTATATGGAAAAATATACACAGCGTTGTTTGAATTTCGATTATGATAAGCGTGCAGAGACACCACCTCACAAGGCGCTTTTGTTCAAGTCATGAAGTTAGCCTCACTCCTAATTCTATTTTTGATTATTTGACCCTGACAAGTTCTGTTCATCCAATTCATCCAAAGACTCTCATTTTGGCCCACAGTGGCCCACTGTTTTGTGCTTTAGTCATTCTACGGTGGATATAAAATGACTCTATTTATATATAGTTTTTGCCAAGTATAGAAAATAGAATTGTGCTGAGGTAAAATCATTTTCAGGAATTTTTGAAGGCTATTGTACAGTATGTCCTATATTTTGTCCTACAAATCTTACCCACTCTCGTAGTAATGCTAATATTTCATCCAAGAGCTCATATTTCTTTGCTGCCCCTCTAAGTAACGTCTGATTGTTCTAATGTTAGAAGCAACGATAGAAATCTCCTGCCGGTCTTTGGCCATAATATCTGCTAATTTTTTTATGAGTTTTGGAATATCTTTGTACTGCCCTTGTAGGTAACTCGTCGAAGCAGATTCTGTTATAATGTTGTTTTATATTACATGTCTTACTTTATAAAGTTTAGCCGGTTGCAATTCTTCTAAATGCTTCCAAAAACAAGCGAGTGATGCTTATTTTGCTTGGTCCAAACATGAGGGTTGCTTTCATTTCAACAAGGAATGACTCGCGCTTCATAATAGTATCTCAACGCTTTCTTTCTTTTTTTCACTGCGGCTCTGTGACTGCGATTTACCGAGTGTGTCCTGTATTTGGAAAAAATTCTTGTTTGATATCGGCTTGAACAGCTCAACAGATATGAACATTGCTGAGGACGTCGAATAATAATTTGATAATTTGCGACACAGCAGTCTAGAGACAATGATTTAGGAACGTTGATGCTATTTCTTCCTTATGCATATTCAGAAGTGTTCCGTCCTTGGTATTTGCAGTATTGTTTTTGGTTCCCTCTTGAACGCAGTAATTCAGAACACAATCAAGATGAAGTTCTTCAGGGAAAGTGTAAAACGACGACAGAATTCGCTGCCAAGGTGATCTGAAGTGTAGCTTTTTGCACTTTCATCCTTGCCAGCCATCTTCCGGTGACATAGGGTCACTGAAAAGTGTGAGAGCAGATGGTGAGGTGAGATGGTGATGAGAGATATTACGTTTTCTATTCATTTGGTAATCTATTACATGCTGTGCACTCATATGCAATTCATACTGCATGAAAGGATGCTAGGCTTAGCTTTTATCTATCTATCTATCTTCCTCACCCTTCATGAACATCGGTGATGGTTTTTGACGGGAGAAGTTCACTCCTGACTTTTTCACTATAGAAGTATGTACGAACCTTATTCTTCAACGTTGGTCTCATTCAGAAGGCGGGCCCGGTCTAATATGTTGATGCCAGTCTTCGTATCAAATGCCAGATCAGAATGAAGGTAATCGATGTATGTAGTTGAGTGGAAAGTAATGTTCACTACTGATAACGATATTCAAAAATACACAATTTTTCCACGGGCAACTTGATAAGTGCAGTACCTGTATTGCCACATACCCTCCACAACTGTTCTCCATTAAAGCGCTAGTGATTAGATACATACTTTGCTCCAGGAACTCTGGTGCCACTGACAGAAACGATGATTGAAGGTCCATTTTGATGGGCTGGCGATCACCGTAGCTCTTATTCCGCAAGTAGTGGACAATTGGGCAAAACAGAAGGTATTCGGTTTGTGCGAATCAGTGGAATATTGTGGAGGAGGGGAACTACGGAGCATGTCTTGCATTGCCTTCTTACTTTCCTTTGCGACATGTGTACGTGCGTGTTGTGTAGCAGGAAATTCCCACAGTAGCCTGCAGCTTTGCGAGTTACCTAGTATCCCTATGCAGGTGCAGACAACAGCTGTGTATGGAACAGATCAAATTTTGTGCAGGCACCTAGAGACTAAGTCAAAAAGGCCATTGAACATTCTAATTATGTACGTAGAGCAGGATCTTGACGGTAGCACCGTATCACAGCACATCAGAGCTCGACAAAACCGATATGAGGTTGTCCTCACTGTAAACAGGTTATAAACCCTACAGAAAACATCGTTTTCTAAAATGTACTGCTGCTCAGATCATTCTTTTACAAAATAGTTCATGTGTTGGGGAACTTCAATTAGGCTCAAAAATCGTTTTCAACAATTGCCCTTGATAAATGATGTAAGCCATGGCTGATCTCCCACTAAAAGGCAGTGCACAAGAAGAGTTTATGAGAAGGAACCATCCGCCTACATAGTTTTTTGAAGCCTTCTTTAATGAGAAAACGCATTCATTACAGTACTGCAAATTGCTGGAATCGCGTAGTGGCCCCCGCTGATGAGGCTGTTATTGTTAGATGACAGTCAACATGTGTCTTTATAGCGGCTAGAGGGTATAATATTTGACATATAAAAGACTCTGGAAGGTAGGAAACCAACAGGAATGTGATGATTCGATGGAAGGGAACCGGGACTATTTGCTGTATACAATGCGGTGTGAACAAGAGACGCCTTCTCATCGCAATACATCGCATACATCAACAAACGGTGGTCCAATTTACTCGTACACAGTTCCTTTGATCACGTCTTTATTACCGTCCACAAAAATAACAGCCGTTCTATAATATTTTCGAGTGTCATGTCGTGATGTGGGTTACAAAGGGAACTCCTCCCGTAGAGAAAAAACTGCATTATAAGAGGGTGTGGGAGTTGAAAATGGTGATGCAAAAGTGACGAAAGTGGAGAGGAACATCGGTCGCAAGAAAAAGAGTGATGAAGGGAGATGTGAAAGGTTCAGGATCATCCGATGTTGGACCCCTATGTTCGGACGAAAGAGGAGACAGAATGAATTTTGAATATGTTTCAAGCAGATGCCGGAATTCATGCTCCATATGACGAAAACATTCTTATGTAATAATGAAGGAAAGGCATTGGTAAAGGAAGTAATGAAGCTCAACAACAGCGTAAAGAGATATGTAAACAAAGAGGACATAATCATATATCACACCGTATGAGAAAAATCCAAAAAAATTGAAACAAAAAGAAAAAAATGTACAAGGGTAACATAAGCAATATAAAAGCTCTCAACTTTCTAGCAAGCTTAGCAGACCCTAACTTCTAAGTGCGTAGGAAAACCCGTTCGAAAAGTAAAACAGCGTTTGAAGTAGTTTTTGATGAATTTGTTGGAAAAACTCATCATCCATCCAAGCACTGATTATGAGTGTAATACCGGGCGATGTCGTTAATCTCTAACTTCTCATTATGATAGAGGTCCTCACAAAGTTTGCATAACGCGTTGCTTATGTAACTCGATGGTAATCGGTAATGTTTGATCCATTCAAAATATCTAAATTGGAACGCTGAGACTAATGAGTAAATATAATCCTTGTTGGAACCTACTTCAAATACTCGGTATCATTCGTGCGTAGGAAGTTCAAGTAGTCCCCCAACTGCTTGACGCTTTCAAAATCATCAAGAGCTATAAATGAATCTGGAGGAACATCAGTACCTGGAAATAACGATCAGAATGAGATAGATAAGAACCTTTGACAAATTCCTTCAATCTATTTCTGATTCCTTTGAATGACTTGAATATGAATTAGAATAACTGAATACGAACTTCCTTAGCGAGTACCATTTTTCCATTTTCCCCTCTTCCATCAGCTATAAGCATGAGCAGGGAACCCCTTATCGAAAATCCAAACAATGTACTCCCTTCTTACTGACATGAATAGAAAACTAAACTCTAAAAAAGGTAGTTTCTATATAGTATTTTTCATACCTTCGTAAAGTTTTCTTCTCATGACTACAGGAACAAGCAACTGTGATATCCTTTTATAAAACTTCTCTGTTATATAATCATTGCACAGACTGTTCTCGAAAGATATGTAGAATCGATGAGTGGCTGAAAAAATTACACTTAGTGTAATGCCGCCAAGCACTGATGAATCCGAATTTATCTTCTTCTTAATCATTCCCTTTCAGATTCCTCTTCTTGATTTTTTTCACGTCTTTTTTCTGCATGCATTCGCGGTAAGCTGTTAGAGTGGCCCAACAGTCGAACAAGTGAGGCAGTGCGATTGATTCCCTGTCCAGCAGATGAGTCTGGGTGACCAACACCCAATTGCACCTCTGAAAAAGCTAGGTGTACAGATTAAAATGCATGTATAAGCATTCTAATCTGTACACCTAGCTTTGGCAGAGGTGGTGTAGTGAAAATTGGCGCACTATCGCAAATACATGGTCGGGGGATAGAACCCCGGATCGATACACGATCATTTTATTCGGGGTCGGTTGATTGAAAACAGACCTGTCTGGGTGGATAGAAGGATTGTTCTTTGCATTTGCGAGAAGTGGTGAGAGATGGTTGAGCTTTTCATCTGGATTGCAACGCTTCCTAAATGAATTGCTGGCTTTTGCCTCCCACCCGAGGAGCATGGCAACGTTGGGCAGTGAAAAATTCGAATGCACACCTCGTCTCTGTTGTCATGGTGCTTTTCAGAATGACAAAATCTTGTTTGGAAATATTGACCAATTTTAAATAAGTAATCATATTCATAAAAGCTGGAGAGCATTGGGTTCTGGAATGTCTTATTATTGAGTGGAACAGGCGTTTTTTTGAAGAAGGCATCAATGGACTTCCGGCCTATAAGGTATACATGCAGATTCCCTCGATTTCGACGTCGGAAAGATTAGGCTGACTGCAGTCATTTTTTAGACAGTAACTGGCAGGTTAATGAATGTCCGTAGTGGGTTCCATAGTGTTCTCTACTCACAGAAGCTGTACTCAGGTGCAAGAGGAGGGGAGCGCGAAGGGTTGACCACCGTTGGTATTCAAGGCTAAGTGCATGCAGTCAACCAGCAGAATCAATTTTTCTCGTATTTCTAGTTCACTGCCGTTCGAACTTTCACCGTCATGCTGTACTTATAAGTACAGCTCACGATATATCTGAGGTACCTTTTTTAAGTCGAAAAATGAAAGTATTGGTTGAGGGTAAAGCATCGGTGGCAAAGGGAAAATTGACCAACTTAGTGAGAAAAAAGGCTCCCTAAAAGTAGTGGAAATAGAAGTTGCGCGAGTTCATTATAAGAGAAATGGCATGGAAGGGGTATTCGGACGAGGTTTCAACTGTTGCAATTACGCAAAGAGCTGACTATAATAAGCCAATATTGTCCGGAAGTGTCTTCCGCTGTCGTCATGGGTCATCACAAGTTGTTTAAACTCCCTATATGGGTTCCCTTGTGAATGATGCAGCCCCTACAACACCGTTGAAACTCGTCCGCTGTCGGTGTGGCATTCACACGATACAATGTCTGGCCCCTTATTGTGCTATATTCAAGACGTTTCTCAACCTGACACTTGCTTGTATGGTTAGGAACAAGAAAAAGACCACTCACTAAGAGGATGATTCATTTCAGTGAAACTGCTATAAATGGACTCAGTAGCGGAACTCACCAATGAGAGAGTCGTCGTCACAGTCGCTTTTGCAAAGTTCCGTGGAATTGTCAAAACTCAGCTGTTTCTGGCACGCTCCTCTGACTGTTACTTCAGTGAATTGTCCTAGTTGCCTTAAAGTGATTCGCGTATGAAGGCATTTGGAGCCCTCATTTAACAAAAAAGGCTGTTCTTGAGAGGATGGCATGCTATCCACACCGGTCTCTCTAGTGTTTTCTTATCACCTCTCAACGAGCATATAAGTAAATTCGAAAAAGATTCTACAAACGTTTTGTCACTCACTACTGACTTTATAACATGTTCTCGTTTTGAGCGTGTATTGCAATTCGATACGAAAATAAGTGAGCCTCTTGTTTTCCTCTTCAAAGCATCGAGCACCTAAAAAATCGGTTATGCCTTACTTCAGACGAATATATTATTTGATTTTAAAGGCCTTTTCTTGAAAGTCGAGGAACCGTAAAGGATCATAAGAAGTTCGAGAAAATTTAAAAACGAATATGCTGTTGGGCTCTGTTTCTCGTAGCAGTTTACGTATGTACAGATTTTTTATAAGAATGCTAAATTATGAGCAAAAGGTTAAGTCTCCGACACGATCCAATTTCGTGGAACCGTGTTCACCGAGCTTGAGAAATCGATTTTCACGAACCCTTTTTCACACTTTCTCCCCCCACAGTTCTCAATGGCATTTCTACGAGAACCCTGATTGAACGATGGACCGATATCAGCAATGAAAACCGAAGCTGGAATATATCCCACAAATCAGGGTATCGATTGTTCTGCATTGTTGCTTGCTTTCTTGAATCTTCAGTTTACGGGCAGTGACTAAGGTTTTGATAGAGAGATGTAGTAAAGCCTAGATAAGAGCAATTTCGATTCCAACTACACTACTATGTAGTCACAACTTATACTGGTTGCGTCACGTTCCTAGTAAAGACAATGGTAAAGTGGGAGGTTGTTTTGTACAAGAATAATCCCTTGAAGTTGTTGTTGCCTTATAAGTTGCTAATTGCAATAACTTACTTTTTGTTCTGACACGGCTACACCTTCTCGTTCTTTATCCTGAGGGGTCAAAGGCACGAATTGTCCGTAAGGAAGGAAGTAGCGTGAATCTCGCCTATACGTCATAGTCGCGTTGAAAAAATTCCGTGGTACCTGAATAATTAACGTGACCCTACTCTACAAACAGGCATACTATGTATGTGACATCTCCGCTAAAAGTTTGCTAGTAAAAGGTCTGAGACCTAACAAATACCAATTCGCGTTCAAGAAGGCGCCAAGGAGTTTAGCATAAGATCGGGAATGATAAGGAGATGTGTAGTGCCTATTCCCCTAACAATGTCTGTGGTTCAAATGCTTAATTTTTGAGAGAGATGAGCTGCCTTGCAGTCAATTATTGTACATCGCTTTTCGTGAATAGGCAGCGCTATCTCTTGCTACCGAGAGATAATCATAGTTTCAGCTTTTTTCTTATAATCATAATTTCTTTTAAAAGCTGTTTGTAGAATGAAAACCGTTTTGGTCAAAGTTTTTGCGGTTGATTTCTCATGAATTGCGTCAGTCCAATAAGAGGTGTGCTCGATTGAGCCAGCTTCAAAAATAAGCTATTTGGGACCCACTGGGCTGGCAAAGAGTTGTGTAAACCATTGCCATAAGCGCCACGATTTTTCGAAGTCACCTTATTGAAACGGTCTTGCTTTACAGGCGAATGCTGAGCGATGGTACTATGGCACCGCCCGTTTTTCAATAATATTTATCTGCAGTCCGATATCATGCACAAATTCAGAACAAAAAGACTCATTGACTCTATTTTACAGCAGTGCACTCCTGTCCTCCTTTTGTAACTCAGGGAGTAGTACCACATCTCTAGTCACCGAATCACCAATTTTCTGATTATATTTAATTTGTTTATTGGTTGATGCTATTGTTTATAACTCAAGAGCATGTTTAGAGGGAATTCACGTGGACTAAAATTAAACTTAAGCGGGTTCGCGGTCACAGCAGTCGAAACTTCAAAGGTGTGGGCTCAAGAACTCTAAGATGCTGAAAAATGAGCATATTCCGTGCACAGCAGTGACTATCACGTTTGTTGAAAATTCATCTAACAGATGGCTATCTATTTATAGACTCCGTTAAATTTCATAAAGAGATCCTTGAGGAATTCGTCAGAAATGAACCGATCTACTACAGCGCGATGCTCTGGAGAACCGCCGTTCTCCGTTTGCTCGTAGCTCCTTAGTTGTGGTTTAGAGGTCACTTGTCCCAATTCGTGTGCTCAGCTCCGAATTTAACACTAAGATATAAAACGAACTGGCGCTTCTTAGATGACTAGTGTCCCTTCCGTAAATGGAGAAATCAGTGCTACGAAAACGTCGGAAGAACGTCGTACCTCACCTGGTGAATGGCGGATCCAGTATGGTGCGGAGATTCCATGAGCATAAACACTCTTAACTGATTTGGAGTTGCTGACGGCAAATCGGAACTGTTCATGTCACGTCCATGGATTACATATGCAGAAACGTTCCGTTGACTGAACAAATGTGACCTGTCTGGTCGAAAAATGACCACAAATATTATATCATTCAATCAATCGTGTAGGAACAAGGAACTAATGTCCTGGTTAACTACCTAGAGTAAAATGAAACCAAACTCACTAGAAATGCTGCTCCCGCCGGTTGATCAAATGACACATATAAATACAATTATTAAGCGTTGGAAGCAATACTTTTTTCAAGTCCGTTATGAAAAATGGCGTCCAAGTAACGATAATAGGAATACTCTGAAACCAAGAAGTGGTAAGAGGGATACCGTGAAACGTGAAAATGACAGCTCATAATATAGCATGGTCACGAAAGTTAAGTAAGAGACTTGAGAGAGGATTTGCTATGGTCGGGTTTGTCCTACGCTGCAAGAAATCTTTCATACAGTAGGTTACAGAAATAAAATAGGTCCGAGTTTAGAGCTGAGCTCATTAGCCGAGATCGATGTCTAACTTATTTGACAACAGGGTTTAGCAAACCAGAGCATTAGATGCAAAGTCATAACAACAATGGGGTCTGAGTTTTGGAATGGATTTGAGCTTTTTATTTTAATGCTAGGTCCGTCTTGCAGTTGGACTCCGCAAAATGACGGGTGCATCACAACAAGCAACGCATCTGACAGAGTTATGAATTTTTACCCAGAGGGTTACCCTATAGTATTCTGGTCGAAGGCTATT